TGCCATGCTGCACTGGACAGATTAGCACTGGCTGTCCGTCACTTCAGCCTTTGCTTTGCACCATCGAAGTGCAAACCGTTCCTGCATGATTGGGAGGGATCGCCTCCTGCGCTGACCCCTGTTGGGTATCATCTATAAATCGTTCAGAAATTCAACTACCTGGGAATTTGTATCAGCGTCCATGGGATTGATGATGAGATCACGAATCGTATAGCAAAAGCTCGAAGTGTTTTATCTAGTCTTTGACACCTATGGTCGCGGCGCGACATCACTCTTGCCCTGAAGGGTAGAGTGTACAATGCAGCGGTACATTCGGCCTTACTGTGCAGTTGCGGAATCTGGTCCCCTAAGATCGGCGGACATAAAGAGGCTAGTTACATTTTAATATCGGCGGCTTCGCAGTTTTTTTCAGATCTGTTGCGAACACCGCGTGAGTAACGAGCGTGTTGGACGCCTTGTTTACCGCTCAGAAAAACAAACTGAACCACCTCAGCACCTTCATTTCATGTACCAGGCTCCGATGGCTCGGCCACGTGTTACACATGCCAGCCCATTGACTTCCGCGACGCGCGTTGTTTGCTCCCCGGGGTTTGGATGGACGAAGAGGAGAGGTGGCCAAACGATGATTTGGTCGAGATGAGTGAAGACTCTTACTTCAAAGCTGGCCTCGGTTTGAGCTTCCCGGCTCCCTGGTTTGGGTCCAAAAGACGATGAACACATTCGGCTAGCTACACTTGTTGCTATGGCAAGGAGCCGACTTCAGTGGCGTTCGTGTTGTGACTTTATTTACTCCACGCCATGCCTGTTATCCTTCACCTTCAACCCCGATCTCATTTGGTTGCATAAGATACATTTTGCCTGGAAGCCGGCTGGCAACTTTCCGGAAGGACGCCCATCCGTTGCTGTTTGCTTAGCGGGCGTGCAACTGTTGCATTTATTTTGTTTCTTTTTTGTATTGAGGCACAGTAACTGAGGTGTTTCCCATCTCTAGCCATCATGTATAATGATGATGATGACTCCTTTTGACATCTACAGGCAGCTCCTAAATTCTCTCGCGTGAACGAATAGGCTCTGATCATGTCCCAACTTATACGAACGGCATTATCTGTAGTAATGACCGGATCAGCAGCCGAGGTTGACACAGTCAAATCAATCGGTAATGTCATTTTGTGCCAAGTTACCATGAAGTGTAGAGTGTTGTCCGTCGACAAGTGAACGCTTTCCTGATAAGACAATAAACACGGTAGAAGTGTGATATCCTATTCGCGGCTCTTGTGTTCGTCTGTGGACGCTTCTAAAATAGCCTTCAACGATCGATTTGTGTGCGGTATTTGGCTGTTGCCATGGGGATGGTAGCTTGTTGTCCGAATTTTTCGAATGCCTATTATTTGGTAGCGTTATGCACTACCAGATTTTCAAAATTGGAACCACGATCTGGATGAAGTTGCTCAGGTGCCCCCATCATGAAATACCGTGGTCAAACAGAAGCTGAGCTATGAGTCTAACGTCAATGTGCGGGGTTGGTACTTCCTCACACGATAATCGACCAAAACGAGCATAAATCGATTCCCTCGCCGCGTTTCAAGAAGGGGTTCAAGGACGTCTACACCTACGGTTTCGTTGGGATATCTGCTCAACATGGCCTTCAAGGGGCCCCGTTCAACGTTTGTGGTTGCTTAAAACCGATACACTCATGATGTACGTTACAGAAGTTCGCAATATCTCGACGCTGTTGAGGCCACCAAGAACTCAATCCTGCCGCCTGCTTCATTTTTCCTTGTCCCGCGTGCCCCAACTCTCTACGTACCTGCTCAGCTACCCCCTACGTCATGGACTGTAGAACGATAAGTCTGGTGGGGGTACTTCGGACCGAACTGGTAGTACATGACCCCATTCAATAACCGCATATTCGACCAAAGCGACCACAGGCAGTGCGCTTCCCAGCTAGATGCAGCTATTTTCGCTTACGTGGGCTTCAAACTCCTCTGCTGTAGACGCTGATAACATAACTTGGTCTCTAGGTCTGTACTGTGGGCTGATACCCAACCTGTTGAATCCGGATGGTTCAGAGACACGACAACAACGTTCGGGGTTGAAGACGACGGACAGTCACCATATGCTGTAGACGGCCGATTAGACAGGTCGCCTCTATTTCCGTGTTGCTTCCCGGGAAGATGTTGACATTTAAAGTCGAAGGACTGCAGTTGTTCTTGCCAGCGCACAACTTGCCCTTCGGATTCTCGAAACTCCCGCAATCACTGGAGTGCCTGATGATCAGTACGGACTACGAAGTGTCGACAGAACAAGAAACGTGGGAAATGTTTACCGAAGGGGACCAGAGAAATCATTTCCTTCCTGGTAGTGCAATAGTTTCGCTCTGTTTTCGTCAACTTGTGGCTAGTGTAGGCGACAAACCGTTCTTTACCATCTCCAGAGATCTGTGGTAATACAGCTCCGATACCAACGTCGTTAGCATCCGTGTCCAAAACGAAGGGGCTGCTTTCGGTGAAACATCCAGGAAAACAAGGACCAGGGCACTGGCCAACGCATGATGCAGCTCATCAAACGATTCCTGACACTGCGGGCTCCAGTGGAACGACCGACCTTTCTCTGTGAGTCGGTGTAAGAGTGCTGCTTTATCCGCATAGTACTTCACGGAGCGTCTGTAGTCAGAAAGCACCCAGAAATCTCCGAACCTCTTCCACTAGCTCGGGTGTAGGCCAACTTAAGATATTTTATACTTTCGTAGGGTGGCCTCGGATACTAGAATCGCTAATCACGTGGCCTAGATATTTAACCTTTCTCTTCAGCAGATTGCACTTAGACGGCTTCGGCTTCAACGCTGCGGAGCTAAAGCACTCCAGCACTGTTTCTAGGTTGGTGAGATGTTCATGGAGACTACATCCATGAACTCTGACATCATCCAGGCATGCAAAACAATCCCTTGGTTGTAGATCTCTGAGTACAATATGCATCAATCGCTGGGGCATTAACCAACCCAAACGGCATTCTCTGAAACTCATATAACCCGGTGAGTATAACGAAGGCAGTTCTTCAATGTCTATGTGGTGTACTTCGACTTGCCACTAACCTGAGGCAAGGTCCAAAGTAAAGAACCAAGTAGCGCCATGCAGTGATTCCAGAGCGTCGTCATTGCGAAGTAGCAGGAAAGAATCTCTCCGTGTAACATCGTTAAGCTTCCATTAATCTTTATATATTCAACACATGCCCAGTGTTCCATCCTTCTTTTTGACTAATACCATAGGGGATGCCCATGATATTATCTTTTGACATCTGATCCACCACTTTCTGTAATTCCTGTCTATACACAGGTGGGACACGCCGGGGTCCTTGCCTTATTGGAGCATCCGCTGTTTCAATCCGATGCATAAGTATGCTCGTTCTACCCAAGGAAGTACTCCTCCATGTGAAAGCGTGCTTGTGTGAACGCAGTAAATTCTCCAGCCGGTTCCGAGCTTTACCATTAACAGCAGCGCTAACAGAAGAAAGCAGTTCTGATATCCTACCTTCATGGTCCACGGTGCTAAGCATCCAAAGTAAAAAGCACTTTCACATAGCCATCATTGGGTTTGTAGTTTAGAGGGAGCAGGTTGTCGCATAGTGTCAAAACTGCGGGGATTAGATCGACAACCCATGCATACCGACTTAGAAAGTCAACCCCTAATATCGCATTCCATGGAATTTGATCGGATATGTAAAACTCATGAGAAAGAAGCTCCTGACCGACCAGCAAATCAATGGAAACAACGCCATGAGTAAGCAGAACCATACCATTTGCCACTCTGGTCTGACGCCCGGGACTAGTGACTACTGAGGAAGACAAGAAACGGAATTTTAAAAGGCTGCATACTGCACCGGTGTCGATGAGGGTATGTAATCGCTGATTATTGACTACTTCGTCCACAGTTGGCGATTCATAGAACTTAGAAGACACCAAAGGTACACAAGGAAGGTCCGACTCACCGTCAAACAATCTCACTCACTTCGATTGTCCTCCTTTTTCAGAAATTTTGGAGGCGTCATATTGGCTTCTCATCAGGCGAACATCAATAGATAAAACAGAATCTCTTGAACTCGGTCACTGAGGGAATTCATTATAACCAAGCGCTAATGTTCTTCCGGGACGTACGCAAGGGACATTTCCATGCGACGACGCCAGTTGCATAAGTTTGTGTCAACTTCAAAAACTGGTGGGGGTAGAAGGAACAACTGCCAAAGGACAAGTTCTAACGGTGACTGTCCACAACTTGATGTCTGTGCAGCGGCAAAATCCTGTTCCTCGTTCTTCGGTTTCTTCGCGCGGGATGTCATGACGATATTCCACCTCTGTCACCAAATATGTAGTGTGCAATGATCCAGGGGGACACGAAAGATCGTCAATGGCTAAGAAACGCAGGGGAGAACTGATTCCGACGGCAGCAGGCGCTACGGTGATCACGGCACTCGAATAGTCAGGGCAGAACACCGCGTGCGCACAGCAGCATGTACTTGGCAAAACTCAAACTCAAATTATTCCAACAAAACAGGTCAACTATACACAAACCGGAATAGGAAGTACAAAGAATATTACTATTATTATTGTACTTTAAAGTCATTGTCTTCTGATATACAACCCAAATTTCTTGATTGATGGCCAGACCGCCGATCTGAAAGGAAAAGAGAGACGGTCAAAAAGAGTTGGAGTATTAGCACTACAGCTGTTTCCTATTTGTAGCGCGTCAGCGTGTCGCTGTAGCAAGTCAACAGGTAAGATATCGTCGTGCATAGCTTTGGATGTCATTATCGTATCCTCTTCTTTTTACCTTCCCACTTCACCTTCCGTATCGTAGAGCACTCGCCTCACGCTCGGTCCTCCATCAGCGGCTAGGACAATGCCGTCCAGCTCGCCACTAGGTGTAACGTAGGCCCACATTCCATCCAGTTCCGATACTTACTAGGTGGTTGTCCAGCCGCCTACGAAGTTTCTTTTTTGCGTTTCAGCCCCTCGGTCCAATACGACCCACGTGTGCCCTGGACACGGAAGCCCTCGGAACCCACAACCGGACTACACTATTTATTAGACGCTCACGATATGCACCTTGTATCCAGTCCCTTGTTTCGTGTACCATTTGCACTTACCCGTTTTGTTGCCTCTAGGGCGGTCGCAACTGAACCAAAGGATCCAATTCAGAGGGCTTTTCTTCAAAAGTTGCGGGAGTATTTCCAGAAGAGCAAGTAAGTATGGTTTATATGACATCATCTTCTAATGCCTAGATCTAACGAATTTGGGCTTGCTGAAGCTACTCCGTCGGAGTTAAAAGAAATAACTGGACTGCTTGCAATGGTCGATCAGATTTATGGCGCAAAAGGGCAAGATATGACAAAGTTTCCCACTTTTGAATTCAAAGAACCTCAGTTGGTCCATCCGAGCTCTTCAGTTTCTGTTGACCCTCCTGCAGAAACTGAAGTCGAGGAACCTATAGACGAAATGTTTGGTAACCGTCGCAAACTCATATTGTAGTATTCCCACATGCTGAATCCCATGGTCCCCTTTGAAATTAGTGTGTAGTTACGGCGAATATATGCGTTTAGGTCCATTGCTTGCCCCTCGTTGTTACTTTCTATTAACCGCACGGTTTACCAGTACACCTTGGAAAGCTATAAGCGCACGGTTAGCTTTATTTTCCTCTGTCACACGAACCATGCCTACTTAACTGACAAGATGTCGGATTCACAGTCTACATATGCCTTCCTATAAGGAACAACCCATTAGCCGGTAAGCAAGCCAACCTCTCGGCGATTCGACGTTAGATCGCTTGAGTTCACTACCGCGAAAACATAAAAGTAGAAGCAAGGCCTTCCCTTCTAAAGTTACCTAAAAATCATATCCCTACCACGGGTTGATGACAGCAAAGCCCACTGACCCTGCGGATTTCACTATTTGCAATCTGGGCCTCTCAAAGGATTATACTGTAACGAGACAATCTTTACTTAGTGCGATGGACTGCGTAGCTCCGTGACCCATTGAGCTACGCTGGGTAGCACTTTCCAAGTCAGGTCAGGTACTACGGACGATAGAGGTTTTCGCCTAACGAGCGTTCTGTTTCTGGTGCCGGTAAGTGATAAACAGCCCCAGCACTTCGACGGGTTGACTC